ACGTTCGATACCCGCAGCCCCTAAACTGGTGAGCCCGTCAACCTCTAAACTGGTGAGCCCAACCACGAACTACATCTTCAATTCACACGCAGATAAACCCGGTGAGTTCGTTCCTTTTTGTGTTTATTCTTGTACTATATTGTTATCGGCATACTTTTCGTCATGAGTGATCCTAGCCCCAAGGTTATTCAGATTCGCTCAACCGCCAAAACAATTCAGCTAGTACCATTTTGGCCAGATAATGCTGAAACGTGGTTTCAGATTGCTGAGTCCGATTTTTGTGAACATGGCATAACTGATCAACGTTCACAGTTCCTTGCAGTTATTCACGCCCTACCGCGGGAATTCAGCAAGTGCGTAACTCTGCAGATGTCGGTAAGTAACTCGTACGAGTTGCTAAAAGCATCCCTCCTAAAGAGAAACGTTCTCACAGATCGACAACGTCTGGATGAGTTATTTCGTAACATCGAGTTAGGAGATCAGTCAGCCGTGAGCATGCTGGCAAGAATGAAAGAGATCATTGGCCAAAGTCAGTTCGATGAAGGACTGTTTAGAGAACTATTTTTATCCAAACTGCCACAGTCAGTTCAGACTGTACTTGTGACACTTCAGGGTGTTCTCATAGATGATTTAGCTGTCTCTGCAGATAGAATTCTAGAGATAACGAAACGGCCAGTTACCGAAGTATACTCTGTTACCGAACAGACTTCGAAGAAGGATTCTGCAATGATAGAGTTATGCAACTCCGTCCAGCAGATGCTTAGGTCAAACAAGCCTAGTAATTCCTCAAACCGTCGTTCTAGATCCCCTCAACGGCAAAACGCACGTGGACGATCTAAGTCCAACACACGTTCTGTCAAAAATCCTGACTGGTGTTGGTATCACAACACCTATGGCAAGGAAGCGAAATGTTGTCGAAAACCTTGTGATTTCGGCAAAGCCTCCAAGTCTGTGGGAAACTATCCCGCCGGCACGCGTTAGCGGCAACCGTCGCCGGTGGCACTAGCCGCTTACTTTACATCCACGATGTAATTAGCCAGACTAGATATCTAGTCGACACAGGCGCCGAAGTCAGCGTCCTTCCTGCTACAGCAGCAGATCGACAGAAGGATCCTAACTTCAACCTACAGGCTGCAAATGGAAAACCAATTGCAACCTATGGTCGGAAATACGTCTATCTGAACGTAGGTTTACGCAAACCTATTCAGTGGATTTTCCTAATCGCTGACGTCACAATGCCCATCATCGGCACGGACCTACTTAATCATCATGATTTGCTCGTAGACGTCCGCCGTAAACGACTAATTGACAACACTACTAGTTTGTCTATCAAAGGCATAACTTACGTAGGCCCCAGCTTGTCAATCGTTAAGATGAAAGCAATCCTCGATCCAACTTTTCAACCGATTGTTGACAAATATCCGGAACTGAATTGCCCATCTAACGATCTCCCGTGCATAACCAGCAATGTTATGCACCATATCATAACCTCAGGACAGCCCGTGACATCTAAAGCACGAAGACTGGCCCCTGACAAACTGAGAATTGCCAGAAACGAATTCGATCATATGCTCACCCTTGGCATCATTCGGCCATCGAATAGTCCATGGGCATCCCCGTTGCATATGGTACCGAAAAAGGATAGCAACGATTGGCGACCCACTGGTGATTACCGGCGAGTGAACGCCAAGAAAACTCCTGATTGCTACCCTTTGCCTCACATACACGACTTGACGGCAACGTTATCTGGAGCATCTATATTCTCCAAAATCGACTTGGTTAAAGCATATAACCAAATCCCGATGGCAACGGAAGATATCCCGAAAACGGCTATCATTACGCCTTTCGGACTTTTCGAATTTCTACGTATGCCATTCGGCCTCCGGAATGCGGCCCAAACATTCCAACGCTTCATCGATGAAGTATTTCGCGGTCTCGACTTTGTATACGCATACTTAGACGACTGCCTCATTGCCAGTCCAGATAAGGAAACTCACCTTCGACACTTGGACTTGGCATTTGAAAGGTTACGCCAACATGGTGTTACCATCAATATACAGAAGTGTCGAATAGGCGTTGACTCACTCGATTTTCTGGGTCACACTATTGACTGTCAGGGCATTCGCCCACTGGCTACTTTGGTCGATCACTCTAAGAAAACGCGTTCTGGACGTCACGTTAGATTCCCAGAATACCTTCACACCTATTTCACATAACTGAGTGACACATCAATTTCTTTTATGTTGCATCATTTAACACAAGTAAATGATATTTTTCCTATAACCGTACATTAAATTAAATTAGATGTATATTTTTTTCCCGATATTTTGCACTTTACATTATTTTACTGTATAGTAGATGCATGTCATATATTTTTTTGGTAAAAAACGCTTATTTGGTACATTTTTCTTGACAAGGTTCTCAGCATTCTTGTTTTCTTTTCCAGGTGCAACGGGCACTGGACAGGAAACAAACGAAGCACGGGATCCAACGAACAACATTGAGGAAGCTATGTACAGACACCCTATTAGCATAGTCAGACAGACCAGCAGGCTCTCAATCAAGCCGCTCGGAAGTTTTTTTCACCCATCAGGGAACCATCGAGATTTTTTTACTTCCGGCTGGTCATGTCTTAGGGTCCTCACCAACCCACTAGGGGGGGAGTGAGCTGTAGCGGTAAATAATTCCCCAAAATTATTAACCACAGCAATCATCACTCAACATTGGATGCTGACCATCACTGTTTAAGTCGACTTGTTTAGCTGAAGGCTTACGGTCAAGCATCCCCGCCATTTGGTGCTCCGTCGTGTCACGTGCGTGCACGATTACTAGCTAGCTAAGCATTCATTCCTACCCGCGATTTGGTCCCAAAATATATATCGTATTTGGACGACAAAATCTGGTCTTTTGCTTTACCATTTGGTACTCGAAGAACGAACACTATAGTGGTTGTTGGTATAAGATCTTGCGTTAGTATAATCCGTACAACTCGCGAACATCGATACCGTCAATCCCTAAAAGTTAATTGTCTGTGTTTGCCAATGTAATACAAGTACAAGTATTCACTATATGTTCGTGCATGGGATAAGAAAGAAGCAAAAACATGAACGTGCTGACAGCACGCTTCTAGCCGGCTTCCAAGGTTAACAACTAGAATAATTAAATTTTTTATTCTGTAGGACAGTATCCATTGGAATATACTCGCTAGATCATAGTGTAATCGAAAAGACAGTTAAAACGAAGGAAAGTTTTTCTTTGAGACAAAATCATTAACTATACAGCACACTTGTGAATTTATACCAGGGCGTAGGAAAGTTGCGGAACTACTCCAGGTAAGTAGTCGGAATATAACGAGCAAAAAGGCGAAGTAATACTATTTGAACAGAATTTAAAAATAAGGCAATATTAATGAATTTCTAAAAATCAACTGTTTTTGGTGGCCGTGATAAAGCCTTCTTCTAGATGCATTGGCCTGAATTTTTGGATCAGTGGTGCTTCAGCTATATCTAAATGTCTTGATTTTACTCTATTCATTGGGGGCTGATTGGATTTTGCATAAGACTTTAAATGACTCCTCAAATGCGACTTGGATTCCTGAGTACACACAGTGTTAAGTTGTCTGAAAAAAGCACTTTCGTTTTCCTTCTTCTAAATAGGCTGGATAGTACTCACGAACGCGTTTTACAAGCAGACAAATGTTTCAGCCAATGTATTCAGTTCCACAGGACCAAATAAAGTGATACATAAATACGGAATTGTCTTTGGTCAGTTCTATGTCAGAATGAGGAGTAGCTATTTTCGATTGTCCCATCTTCTCTGTATCTAGTGATGTCAGGAAACTGCGAAAAACACATTTTAACTACTCTCCCGAGCAAGAATTTTAGAACAAGAGCATTAATTTGTTGCTTCGAGTAATGTTTCGAATGCGACTGGGCGCTTCCATGTAGCCGAAATGTGACCTCCTGAAACCACATTAGAACCAGGCTCGGTGCAGGTAGATCTAACTAAATTAAGTGGCCATGACTTGAACACCTAGCTGGGGTATTCTATATTTTATTTCAATGGGTAGGCATTTACTTAAATTTGGACGCCATTTTACGCTTTTCTTCGTGATGGCTAACACGCACATTCTACGATTCCATTTTCCAGCCAATTTAGCCAGGTACATCCCGAAATATTCTCTCAGAAAAAGCCTAACATTTGTTCTGCTTAGACATGTTGATCTGTAGAGTGTATTCTTAAGTAGCTGTGTCCTTTTGAGTCGGGTTTTGTGGCTGGTAAATTCAGCTTAGTTTTGCCACTGATTATATAGGTAATTTAGCTCTTCGTACATAATATGACCTGCTAGGTGTCAATTATTAGCAACACATACAGCATTTTTATAGAAATACCGTCAAAGTAGCTCAAAGTTATAGTATCTTAAAGATTTTGTTGACCCCTCTTATCGAATAAGTGGAGCCTTACTCTGAGCACTATATTCTGAGTCTTTGTATAATTTGTTCAAGAAGTAATTCAGCTCCGACATTTTCATGGATAGGAGTTAATTTGGTGAAGTGATATGTTCTCCTGTGACACTCACATCGCCAGGATGTATCTCTTTGCAGGAATATATCGTACCCCTTATATAAAGTCTCCGTCTTGTAAATTCTTCATTTGGTCTGGTTAGTCCAAAACATCCTAAAACACTGTGAGCAGTCACAGAATAACATTAGAAATCAGAACCTGGTTATTCATCATGGTCTTCGACATCTGAAAGCTCGTTACTGAAGCATCTGAAAATGATTTCTAGTATGAAGGTGAAGGCTGTTTTCATAAAAACTTCCACAAGATTAACGGAGTAATGTCTACGTAAATTTCGATTACTAAAAGCTGCTACTTGCATTGCGACCCAAAGGGAGAATTCATCTATTAAGAGCCTTTTTCATAGAGATAAAGCCTTTCATAATGCAGCACGGTTTTTGTTTGTCTTTTTCGTAATCATCGTATGCTTTTACTGGCGCCTTTGTTGATTTCAAGGTTCTTTCCCTCCAAACTGTGGATTATGCTAAGGACTTGAGGTAAATAATGTCTTGCGTGGGAGTCCTTAAGTAAACTTCATATATTGGATTCTAAAATAAAGTTGTCAATAAGGTGGTCACGTATTTTAATGGAATTTTACTGAATATTGATGGAATTATTCGGGTATCTTTTTACTAAGTACCCTTGAAAAAGCGTGATTTTGTGGCATTGATGTATGTATCAAAGTGTATCTAATTTTAATATTGCCGTGGCACACTCCTTTTCAAATACAAAGAATTTTTATTAATTTGTAGTCACCATTTTTTAGTCTTCTTACTCGGTGTTTTACTGACTCATCATACGGAGAAATCTCTAATGAAGCACAGATAGCATATGACACTACCCGTAAATTTATTTAACTGCTTTTTTATGATGGGTTATAAGTACAGCGTGTTTCGGTTTGCTGTATTTCTTTTAGTCAATTAAGAATTGTTTCAGTTTCAATAGATCTCACGATGGCACGGCGGTTAGGACTCTCGCCGACCATGCACATGGTCCCGAGGTTCGATCCCCCACCGACGCACACCTGGTTTCTCTGGTCGGCCTGCTAAATTTGGGCTACCGATATCGCATGCTGAAAATTTCATACTTGTACCAAAATACTGTGTGGAATCAAGCTATAATAAAAAATTGTAACAATTGACTTAGTTGCTTGTTGGGCGAATTCACTACCTGACTGTAATTTATATACATATAAGTGTAATCTAGACATGCTGTTAAAGTATAACGATCTGCAGTCCTCCGATTGACGAAACGTTATTATTATTATATTATTTATTATTATTGTATCCTTTAATTCCTACAGGAACATAGGGCTTCAGCCGTGTGTCTCCATTGCGTTCTGTTCTCTGCTAGAGTCTTCACCTAGCTCCATGTCTGCCCACACGTTTTCATCTCCTCTTCACACGAACTCCTCCAAGTCACCCTTGGACGACCAACTCGCCTCTTCCCTTTCGGGTTCTACTCGAGGGCTAGTCTAGTGATGTCACTTGATGGCTTCCTTGGAGTATGGCCAATCCATCTCCATTTCTTCCTGCCTATTTGTTGCACAATCGGTTCCTGGTTAGTTCGCTCCCACAGGTCCCTGTTGGTGATCTTTTCTGGCCATCTTATTTTGAGTATTGAGCGAAGACAGCTGTTGATGACGATTTATAGTTTGTTCGAAGTGCTCCTCATGACGCCCCAAGTCTCTGATCCGTATTGTAGCACTGACTTCACATTGGAGTTGAAAATCCACATCTTGTTTTTGCTGCTGAGTGCTGTTGACCTCCACACAGACTTGAGAGTAGTGAAAGCTTGTCTTGCGTTTCCGATTCTTGCTTTGATATCCTCGTCAGTTCCGCCTGTAGTTGAAACGACACTTCCCAGATAGGTAGGTGAAGGAGGTTGCTTCTCTCAGATTTCTCCCATTTATGCTCATTGTTGTCTGTTGTTGTTGCTGTTGGTATTGGCCGGGAATCTTCATCACCTCTGTTTTATCTATGTTCACCTGAAATCCTATCTTAGAAGCTTCTTCTGCTAACTTGTTGCTTTTCGCTTGCATGTCTTCCAGTTTGTGGGAAATCAGACATATATCATCGGCGAAATCCAAATCCTCCAAGGCTTTTGTGTCGGTCCATTTTATGCCTGTTCCCTCGTTGGTTGCCGTTGTCTGTCGCATTATCCAATCAACTGCAATCAGGAAGATCATTGGTGACAGTAGACAGCCTTGTCTCACTCCCGTCCTCACTTCGAAGGGTTCCGTAAGTTAGTTAGTGTTAGGAAAATAGAGATAGAAAATATGAGGGACAACACCAAGAAAACAATTATGCACAGTTACCAGGAGCACTAAGATGATGGTTAGCCGACACAGGATTGGGTTGGAAAGTAGTTAGGGGTGGTCAAACCAAAACCTGTCATAAGTCCATAAAATTCTTGATAGTTGGTTCGAGCCACGCATGGAAGTGCACACTGTGTGGTTGGCATCCTTTGAATACTAAAAGCCAGTGACTGCAGGCTATTGAAGCAATGGCTGAAAATCGTTCTAAATGGCTCAGATGCATTCATCCTGGGATCCCTCATATTCATAAAACCGTTATATTTTTTCCATGTTACTATATTTCCTATCCCATATGTCTGCTTATCATCGTTCTTTTGAATCTCTCTCGCCTAATCTCGTGTATTACATGGAGTATGAAAACTTAAACTGAGACATGTTTTCGCAAAGTACTGTGTTGTAACTCAGTCGGTCAGTCAGGCTCATTACTTCATGTTACTTTCAGAAAGAGAAAAAAGAAAAGAGATTAGTGGCAGGTTCGTCATTAATTACAATTCTTATCCATATTGTCTCGATCCATTCAGTTAAGTCACCTCTATGGCCAACCCAGGGGTCCCTGTCCCACTAAAAAACGCTAATCTAATACTATCATCATCCTATGGTGCCACGTCATGGGCTGACCACCTCTCCATTCTTTCTACTCAATCTCAGCGCTAGCAAACGGCTAACGACATGGGGGCTGCTGTCACATCATTCTCAGCACATATCAAATACATCGAAGCTGGTGTTTCAAGATGTTCACTTCATGAAAGATGGTCTACTATGTTCAAACACCACATCAGGCATCAGAATTACTGACATGATGTCATCGGACGCAAACAATTTTATGGAGGCAACGGTGGTCGAACACACAGGGTTGTCCCATATCCTCATCTTGAAGATGCTGGGTGTAGGAGGACTACGTTGACAGAAGCTTTCTAAAGCTGACCTGTGATGGTAAAGCTAACCTCGTGATGGCGCTAGAGGTGGCCTAGGTTAATTTATGCTTTCTATATTACATCTCCAGCACTTACACAACTACGTATATGTGCGAGCTTACTGGCTACATCTAATGGTTAAACTGCAAGTACGGACTGCAGCCAATCTTGCAACAGTATTCTGCACTTGGATGGTGCAAACCACACACCATACTTACATACACTGATCGCCAACTGATTAAATCCAATTCGGGAGGCTCATTATTGCACAAGAAGTCGATATTATCTGCATACTCGAGGTCGAAAAGTCTACCCGAGAAGCAGATCTACAGCACATACGTCTTTCAGGGTTGATCATATGATCAGTGCATCCATGACCTGAACAAAATCCAACTGGCTCTTCGCGAACCAGTCTCCCCTACGTTTTACACGGTCTGCAGAGCAAGACGGAATTGGCACTAGACTAATAGCTGCATGATTGTCTCATGAATTATGCAGGTCTTGTCTGAAGATAGGTATAATAGCAGCCCCATCCCACGTTTGTGGACCATTCTCACCTTCTACTTTCCTGAACAATCCAGTTAGTTCCATGACTAGAGTTTCACCATCATTTTTAAAAAGAGATAGGGGTAAATTGTTTGCTCTGGGTGCTTTATTGCATTTCGGTACTTGGAATTCCTTTCGAATATGGGCTTCGCTTTGTGATACAGTATTAACCGACCATTATTATTATTATTGTTCCCTTGGGTTCCTAGTGGAACATAGGGATTCAACTGCACGTCTCCACTTGCTTTTATCTTCTGCTGTACTTTTCACCTGCATCCATGTTAGTCCATACTGTTTCAGCTCTTCTTCACACGATCTCCTCTATGTCACCCTCGGACGTCCCACTCGCCGCTTCCCTTTCGGGTTCCACTCGAGCTATGGCCTGACGCGCGATGTCACCCAACGGCCTCCTCAGCGAGTGTCCAATCCATCTCCACTTTCTCCTGAATATTTGTTGGGCGATTGGTTCTTGTTTTGTTTGTTCCCATAGTTTCTTGTTGGTGATTCTTTCCGGCCATCTGATCTTCAGTATAGAGCAAAGACAGTTGTTGATAAAGGTCTGCAACAGGCTGTTGGAAATATTCTTTGTGACCCACTGGCCAAGTTTCTGATCCATATAGAAGAGCTGACTTGACGTTTGTATTGAAAATTTGAATTTTGTTGTTGATGTTGAGTGACAAAGATTTCCAGATTGGTTTCAGGTTGATAAATGTGTTTCTCGCCTTCCCGATTCTCGATTTGACATCCTCGTCCGTTCCTCCTGTAGTGAATGAAGTAACCTCTTTCAAATCCCTCCCGTTGATGGTGATTGGCGCTGGATGTTGCTGCTGTTGTTGTTGTTGGTTATTTTCATAACCTCCGTCTTGTCTATGTTCACCTGGAGTCCTGTCTTTGCTGCTTTTTCGACCAGTTTATCGGTTATCGCCTGTAAGTCTTCGATTTTGTGTGACATCAAACACAAATCATCCGCGAAATCTAGGTCTTCTAGGTTCTTCACGTCGGTCCAGGATATCCCTGTCTTCTCGTTTCCCACTGTCTGACGTATAATCCAGTCCACCACAATTAGGAATATCATTGGTGATAATAAGCACCCTTGTCTGACTCCTGTGTTTATTAACCGACCACGGAGCACTGTAATTGATGACTGGTTGCTGGTACTATTTGGCAGCTAAGCCGTTGCTTAAAGTTCTTTTCCCAGCGTTCTAGGAGTTTAAGTTGTTAATCGGCGCACCATCTTTACAAACCGTCTCACTGATACCATGCTTCTTGCTCCCAGTAGCTCGGATGAGCTGAAGCAACTTCCGATTATTGTCAGGTGCAGCTGCTAATTCTATCTGATACACACGTTGATCATCAGGCTTCGCAATCCTTACGTAAACACTGTTTGATCTTAAGCGTGACGAACTTACTCAGGTTATCGTATTCACTGTCCACTAGAATAAACCGGCAAGCGTCAAAAAGTTGCAAGGAACTCACAGAGACCTAGTAATTTTAGCAGAACATTCTTTTAAGCGACAAATGATCTTGCCATTTTCATGGAGTTTCGTAAGGGCAGCTGATATTCACCTATACTATCTGGATAGTAACCATGCTTGATTGTATCTTTATGTGATAATTCACAGAGATAGGAGGTACTACCAACTTATTCACGTCAGCTTATTGAGGTTAAAAACGGGATCAGAATCTATACTAGCGCTTCAGGAAGAGCTGCAATTTTTTA